GCTAGTCTGTAGTTATGTACAAATTGAAATGAACGTCTTTGGAATGCGAGTCCACTAATTAATAGCCGCCGATCTCGTTGATAAAGTATTCCATACATAATATGAAAGCAATAAATTCATCCTGTTGTTACTCTTAACGACGATCAAATAAGTAGAATCTTATGAATGTAGTATTGTATCTGTAAAAAACTATATTTTTTATAAGATCTTTAGAAAATGTTCTTGTGTCTTGTGTCATCAATACCACTGGTAGTAAAACTCTTGCAACTTCAGTTGTGTTTTATGATTTAGTGATAAGAGAATAATTAAATTTAATTAAATAATAACATGACTTTTTATACTTCGAAACGGGCATTTTCAAAATTTTACACCCTTTCATGTTTACGTGCCTATGAAGGAATAAATAGATATTCGAAAAATCTCCTCATATACGTATGTATATTTGTCACAACCACGATGCAACTAACCGTAAGTTGTAAATTTAAGTTTTAGAAGGTTTACACCGACGGATTCCGACATACATATTATACACTATAAAATTTATTATTAATATTTTTGGTTTGTTGAAACCTGCTTTAAGAGCTCAGTTTGTTTCAAAATGTAGTTGTAAAAATCCTAACATGAAATGTTTTAAATTAAATTCTACAACCAATATTTTTGCAACAGTATCAACATGTAAGCAATGTAATCTGTTGCGTTCTTTCATCCATTGCTGACTTATCAAGGAAAAATCTCTTTCAACGTTTGCGTTCTGTCCTGGGATAGCAAAGTAATACTGACAAATAGTTATTAATTCTGAAAAGCAATCTTATCATCGATTTAAAATAGGCTACGCATTTCTTATGCGCTAATAGTTTCTTGAAATAGCGGTCGGCCGTTCGGCGACAGTGCCAGCTTGTTTGCGAAACGTAAAAAGCCTAACAAAAGCCGGACAAGACGGACACCGTTTATTTTGGCCGGACATGCAATCAAAAAGCCTAACTATGTCCGGCTTTATCCGGACGCCTGGTAACGCTAGGTGTGTTAGGTACATATACGAGTATGTGTTATGTTTAATGAAATCAGTTTTTTTTATTACAACATCTTTTCATACTTTATTTTAAACTCGTTTTATTTAGTAAAACCATAAATTTATTATTATGTCCAGAATTACATATTACGTTACTTATTTAATGTGCATATTTAACCAACATTAATTTATTTGTAATTAGTATATTAAATATTTAACAAAATATTCCTCTTCTTAGGATACTAAAAACCTTTATTAAACTATTATAATGAACTGGATTCTTTTAATAAAATTATTTGTTGTAGTAAAAGAGAATCGCTCAAGGTTAGTGACGTCATATTTGTGGTAGAATAAATGGCACCACTTCCCATTCAATTAAACGTTTGATTGTTTTAAATTTATGGTATTTTTCAAAAACTGTGCATATTAAGAATGTCGAACATTTTTAATTTTTTCAATATAAACGTGTTAAATTCCATAACTTTAATTTGCATTATATATTAAATGTATTTGTTCAAAATCAAAAAAGATTTAACGTCATTTATTTTTATTCTTTAAGGTTATTATAATACTACGATTAATATATAATTGGGATTCAATGCGTATAATGAAGAGGACGGCTATTGCAGTCAGAATGTATCAGAGCAATCAATACATAGTAATTATCAATATAATAGTAATGTTAAGCTAAAATATATTCGTATATATCAGTTAGACGAGTTGAATTCAATTTTAAATATTTATTAAACTATCATGCCAGTAAGTGGATGAGAGTATTGAAATGTGATTTTATAATTTAACATTTGGGAGTTAAAAACAACTGGATATATGCATTAAAAAAAGATATTTAAGTAATAAAGAGATTAACATCTTTTGATAAAATCTAAAGAAAACGATTTCTGAAGAAAATCATACAAGAATACAATTCGGAGGAAACATGAAATATGTTTAATTTTCTTTATAAATTATAAAATACGTAACATTATCCTAAATAGATAGAAAGATTTCAGGAATTGAACGTTAGGTTAAAAATATTATGGAAAGTATTTAAAAAGGCACACAATGAAATGCATCAAAGTAAATATGTAGTAGATTATCGTCCCTAACATCTGTACTCCGTACCACTAGTTTTAGTTATTACTAAGTACTTAAAGAATGGAAGTGTATTCGATATTTAAAATTTCAGTAATCAATTTAATTTTTTCAAAAGCATTCGCCTCTTGAATATATTTTTGTAGTAAACTTAATCTTTGATGAAATATGAGCACGTCGTCTACGTGCTTAACATTATTTTTAAAACTTTTATCATATGTTCGTGAATAAAAAATGTACCCAACTTGTTTGCCTTTTATTAAACGCTTTAAGATTGTTTTGTGCAAACGAAAGTCTTTTAAAGGCATGGACAGAAATTACTTTTATTTTTTGTATTACATATGTATTGTATATCATAATGTCTTTTTGGCAAGTTCCAGTCAGTTGTTTAATACATTTGATGGAATTTCAAGCGAATAAAAAGATACTAATTATTTTTATTTTAATCATGGAAACCTAAATTACGACTTAAACATAAAGTTAATTTCAGTGGTCGCATCAAAACTAAAGTAGAAATTGCGGTGGGAAAGACTACTTAGTAGAAAGATTGTATTTTATTATTTTGAATTTAATTTTTGATTGCTCACTTGTAATTGTATAGTTTGATTGTTATGCATGTGTAATATTGTGTATGCTTATCTTTTGTAAAATTTATTTAACCGACACAGTTGTTTATGGAGACTCGAACTTTTCAAAATGATCCTGAAATATTAAGGTTGCTAATTATGAATATATTCTTCGAAATTGGGTGTTTCATCATAAAATTAATCGCGTCATGAGAATAACTAATTGTTATATATATTTTAATACAAATTATAATATAATTTTATCGTTTTATAATTATTTGTTTTGATTTTACCTACATCGGTTCTAAGATATAATTTAGAGAAACAATATTTTCTAATGCGAATAGGATATAAGAGAAAACAATTTAGAGGTGTTACTGTCCTAATGATGCATTGTAAAAATAGGTTTAAAAAATTATTACTCATCTGAAGTCGGCTGGTTGATAATTATGAAATTTTAATGTTAGTTCAAAATGTTTTCATGAAAAGAAAAAAATAATAATACCCTTCATAGCTAACAAACCCATTTCAAATCAAGAAATTATAAACATCTGTTTTAAATAGCGTAAATTTGTCTGACTCAAACTAACTAATGAAGGTGAAGCTTCAGAAAGCTACTTTTTCATCATTTTTAAATTTCATTCACAATTCGTGTCACCTTGGTTTAATTCAGTGCAGAATGTAAAACACGATTATGATGTGTCCAAACCTAATAAGAGATCACTTAATTTTTTTTGAGTTTCAAAAATATGTTGTTATGTAATGACAGTATAATGAATTATAATAAAAGAACGGTATCATTTTTAAATTTAATATGAGGAACGTTACATTAATCTTTCGGTATCAAACACGGCGGGAACTATTAACACGTTGATCATAAATAACGTACTATCTGGAGTGATTTAAAATACTATAAAGAGAAATCTTTGTTTTTATTTATTGTTTCGGTTTTAATAACATTAACGCTCCTTTTACATTACACGATTTCGCTCGTGCGGGAAAAAATACTTAGTCTCTGTCCAAAAAACTATTCTCTGTATGAAGTAAAAAATAATTAATTAATTATAAGAAGGGTTTCACGTCTATATGTCCGTTTGAGTATGAGTGCAATTGCAAAACCCATTGCAAGACTGTGTGATATACATAAAAGTGTGCTACTGCAACTTCATTTTACTGCTTTTATTACCAATGCAGTCATGATATTTCAAGTTTTTTAAAGTGAAAGTATTTGTATTATTAAATAAAAAAATAATGAGAATTAACTTGAAAGAAATGCTTGAGACATTTTGCTAGCACTGTTTAAAAATCATTTGCCTTCTACGAAGTATCTAAGAATATCTACTTTTTTTTAAATTATAAGAGCTTTGGAAATAATATACTTTTTGTAAAATAAAAATTTTATAATACCTTTATATACTCAAGTGCAATATTGTAAGTCTGAGTATTTTTTTATGTAACTATTAAAAAATATTAAACAAAACGCTTGTGATTTTTTCGCATTAAACTTCTCGAAAAAGTCCTTAAAGTTTTCAGCGCCTCATGAAATTACGTGGAATTTAAACATAACTTAAAATTAATTATTTAATAACAATTGTCAACGCTTAATTAAAGTATATTTCTTAAATGTAATATGTATCAGAACAATCCATAATCATCCGTTTTGTTTGGGCGTGAATAATATTTTATCAGTGTGTAAAATTAAGATATTTTTTTAACACCAATCTCCAAATGAATTCAAATTAGTTCCTTAGTAATTAACGTAATTAGTAAAGTTAAAACTACCTTAGGAACTTAACGACCCGATGGTAAGAGATTGGAATATTTTGCGAAAACTCATGTGTAAACCCAGCTGTACATATATATGGGAAATTTAGTTATTAAATTATATAAAATATTCTGTGTTGGTATAAAATAGTAAAGAAATGAGATTGGTAACTTATGGCAAATTCACATTGTTACATTAAATAACAAGCTTTGATAGGATAAATTTATATACATTGATACAGATATATCCGCGTATTTACCATTGGATAATTCCGCTTATGTACATTGGAAGCAGATTATCACAAGAAAATTTAATTTGAAATATTTTCCACAGTAATGACTTTTAAGGTAATTTTTCGACATTTAGTTATAATTTAATGTTTAATTTGCGGATTTGCACTATTGCCTACGATATGCCACAAATCAGATATTTCATTATACTTATTAAACAGAATATATAATGTACAATATATAATGTCCAACAGGGAATGAGCTGCCAGTACTTAAAGCGGACGGATTTCTATACGTTTCCTTTGAAGATAATGTATGTATATATGTATTTTTTCCAGAATCAGATATCGAGTTGTTTGAAGATAATCCCGAGGAGTATGTGTGGCGTGATATCGAAGGTTCAGACGTTGCGACCAGACGCCGCGCCGCCTGCGACTTGCTGCGGGCCCTCGCAACACATTACGACGATAAAATGATGGCCATCTTCGGACAGTACGTAGAGGTCAGTGAATTGATTTATTACTCACTATTAGTATGTATGTTAAGATCTCTGATTTCAGTAATGGTCTTATAATTTTATCTAAGTGAATTATACTAATAATCGTCAATTTGTAAAACTAAATCTATACGAAGTCAATGTAATAATTTTTGAATAAATTACATAACTTAAATGCATCATTTTCGCATTGCACCATTTATCTGACACTATGTTTTTATATGTATATTATGAAAATGTCCATACTTCAATGATTTATTATTTTTTTATCACTAAAAAAGTCTGCCTAGGAATGTTTCGCAATATATGCCTGACAAAATAGTTTCGTATATATTATCAACACAATATTCCATTATTACATTTCATAAGGAGTATTTTCAGCTGTCTTTGTTGAGGAACTTACTACTGCATAGGAACATTACTCAAATGCAAAATTTTTTCCCTCCTATTCACCTCTCATCTCATTTGTGTATAACTTAAGTTATTGTTTTAAATTCACCAACTATTTCTATTTTTATGTATCAGTTGAAAATTCCCAATAGGTTTCTTTACAGGTTTAATCCACTGTGAATTCTCTTAAGTAATAGGTATTCTAATCAGGTTATATATAAAGTAAATTTATCACGAGCCTTTAAAATCTTAAATTTTTTCAATGCCTAAGTTTTATATGTTTAATCACTCAATATTCAAAGACATTTTAATATCTTTCTAAATATAAGATTCCAGTTACCTAAAAAATGTAGAAACGAGACTTATTCTTATTTTAAAATCATAGCATTCAAATTAAAATTTTACGATCACGAAATAATTCCATCTGGATATTCATAGTTTTTAATATTAATTCTTTACTTGGCAGGCTAACTTTTAAACTCAAGGTTTATTGGTTATACGAAATAAATTAGTAGATATTAAAGTCTTCACTATATATTTATTTTGTATGAAAGTAGTAATTAGTTACAGAAGCAAACGTAATTATTATTGTGTTTATAGAAAAAAATACCTAGTTAAACACACGGCTAATGTACCTCCTTAGAAGAAGAGCTTTTGTATTAACAATTACTAGATTAATATATTATTACACGAATAAGCACCACTCCGACATAAAATATTATTATCCAAAATATATTTTTAGATTATATTTTCATTTTTCCTTAATTTGTGGTAACAGTTAAATATACATATATACACAATTGTTGATCGATATTCTTAATAGGTTTAGTAATTTTTATTTATGTTTCATTGTAAAAAAAATAACTCGGTAACATTTTATAATGACATCTAAGATTTTCAAGAGTTTTCATTCAAAATTCCTCGTTTGCCCGTAATCACGGGTGCTGCAAAGTAAGAGAAACGTCGGTAGCATGTAGTTTTTTAAAATAACCAGTTACATTTCATTTTAAAGCTAGGTAACTTACGTACCTCGTTTTAAATTATCCTTAAGTTTACAATTCTGAAGTCCCATGAATGTTAAAATTTGTATTATATTTGATAAATTACTTAAGTTCAAAACAAAAAATAAAAATAATCTTACACAGATATAGTTAGAAGAAAATACAAATACAATCTTATACACTTTGGAATCTTATATAGACTACTGTGCAAGACCTGTGACAATAATGAGTGTGTGTTAGTATTGGTATTTAGTTAGTAGTAGATTTCCTTAGTTTTATAGATAGTGTTTAGTTTCGTAGTTGAATCCATGGTGACTATTTTATGTTATAACCAACCTTAATTTTAAATAAATTTAATATTTTTTAATTTATTTAAAATCTAACAGATATTTCATTAGGTAATATATATCGATGTTATTAAGATCCCTTGTGTATAATATCAAAATATGTACAAATGTACAAGAAAAACCTTTTTACTATCGGTGGAAATTAAGAGTTGTAAGTGTTCGAAATTAAACGACGTCGCTGTGGATACCCAGAAAATAGATGAAGGAAAGTGCTGGGAGAAATGCCTACAATGACAAATTTGCTACTCAATGACTTGAGATTCTAAGTATCGTAGTAAATCACTATGGATTTCGAGAATTAGTTGTTTTTGTAAATTGCTAGCACTGAATAAAAGACCTTTTAATAAATTGTGTCAATAACTTCAACATTAGACTATGGACATCAAAACTTTATACTGAATAAGTATGAAATAATTATATAGTCACTCGTTATGTTATATTTTACCCATACAAGGGTGTTGCCCGGCGATGTCTATTTATTTCTTAATATGCACTTACGTAACAAAATGTTAAACTGAAGAAAATTTTTACCTATAACAAACATATAAGCTTGGTGAATTCTAATCTTCAAATTTTGAGAATTAGTTAAGACATCAATCAAATGCAATAGCCCAGTGTATATGTCAACATTACTTATTGTTTGAATCTCTTATTACTACGTTTCTATTACTAAGTAGTTATATATTAATATAATTATTATTAATATAATAGTTCTACTTTCTCAAATATAAAACTTTTTAAGTACAATAATTTACAATTTTTCCAAGACGACGTATATCGGAAATAAGAAATATAAATTCACTTTGAGAACTATTTATTACTGCGCTAAATGATGTTGGTGACATGGAAAACGATCGTTTTCGTATCTAAATAATTTTAAATATAATTTTATTTATTTTATCTGACAGAAATCTTTAACTAAGCCGTGCTTAAAATAATACATGTACATATGTATATTATTCATTGTATGTAATAGTATATTACTAGAATATATTAATAGGTATCTTAGGTTTTATTGTTTGTATTTGTATGCCGATGGTTGTAAAGATAATCATCATAGTGACTATTCCTTCAATGTAATATTAACAGATTTTTTTTTAAACGGCAGATTTATAACTAGTGTGCGTGGATCTTTATACTTAAAAATTTGTTTTCTTTTCTGACGGGAGATGTAGCAGTTCTAATCTAATCGGTTGTGTTGAAAGTAAAATAGGAATATCGGTATTAGGTGACATGCATTTTTTTTTTAAATAATTATGCTGGATAGAAGCAAGTATTAAAAGTTACAAACCTTAGTCAGATATGAAACTTTACAAAATGTTTTGATTATATATCAAAAAGTAAGGGGATATGGTACACAACCCTACAAAGCGGGCGTATTCATATCCATGGAGTTTTGACGTTTAGGATTATTAAATATTATAGATTTCAGGCTCACTCGTGGACCTACTCCGCGCAATAGATTTTAATAATTTATACGAAGTAAAAGATAAACCATATCAAATTCTGGTGGAATATATCCAACGTAAATCCAGGAGTTTTATTGCATTTTTTTTATATTAATTTAATACTGTGAGGATTTTAAAAAGAACTTCAAAGTTTGTACTAGAGATGAGATACTTTGAGATGCTTAGGTTCATTTAACAGATTAATTTAAAAGAAGTATAAGATTATTAAGTGATCTTGTTATTTGTATCATTGAGTTGTATATGACTGAAATTTAACATGGTTGCTAAGATAAATATCTTAATAAAATGAGATAAAAATCCATTACAAATATTTAGGAATCTTTAAATTTGCTTAAACCAGATTACAATAGCTATGACTTATAAATATGATTATTTAGGCACAAGAGTGAAATTTTAAATAGTCTTTACAGGTTCAAACTACATATTTAGGTATTCCTTATTTAATATTAGTATTGAAAAAAATCTCTATCTATTATTCTATCTATATCTGCATTAGTAGTAAGATAGGGATAATAGTGCAATTACTTTAAGTGGTGTAACGTAGTATAAAAGAATGAAGTAATTGTCTTTGACAAGAAGTGCATGCAGCAAACAGCTGCTTCAACAGAAGTACATATATATTTAAAAGTACCTCTTTTCTATTTAAACTAGTCAAACTGTATAGCATCAACGAAAAATGTGGTTTTATTGTGATGAAATGTACTAGAGATTATAGCGTGCGTAATGTTATTTTAAATTGTTTATGATTTATAGTACAATTTATCTAAAAATAACTTTAAGCAATGGAATCGTTATTTCAAACACCACATCCGTAGTTCTATGGCCGCGTTAAATCTACATTCACTGGATTCCAAGACCGAAGAACCCAGCTGAAATACTACCTGTCGGACTGTTTAAGTAGTAACGGAATCAACACCTCTATTAGATCCGTTAACCCATGTAGAATATAAAATAATTCATATTAAAATTTAACCTAAACATTCATGATGTAGATATGGAGTGAGGGTAAAATAGACAAAATCAGGGGTGATTCAGAGTATCTGTTTCGTGCATCAATGTGCCTCAAAGGTAACGCACGTTCTTGGCTAAACGTTAGTTAACTAGTGATTGCAAATGGAGTAATTTGGTTCATGAGGTATCACTTCTGCGTCCAGGCAAACACACTAACATTCTGCTTTTTTCCACAAACATTCTACATGGAGAAATGCACTCTACATCTGATAAATACTGTACCTTTGCCGAATATGTAAGAAAGATATTATTGAGTTTTAATTAAATTTATTTAAGAATATTATTTATGAAAAATGAAAACAAATTACGAAAACTACATATATGTATATAGTTTTTAAAATAAATTTCTCACAGTCCCACTAAAAAGCGTTCAGTATTTCCAAAGATTACTCGCTGATGAGAAAAAAGCAACCATATATATTAAATGTTTGCATAATCCATATGTTAGTATGAAGTAAGTATGAGACGAAACCTCTTAGTATTTAATGGATTCACCTGCATCGCGTTGCAGGGATAGGAGCAGGTGTAGGTTTAAGAGCCCCTTATCAAACGCGCGTTATACGCTCACCTCCACTGTCCAAGCTCCTCTCTCTACCTAACCAAATTTGAAAAGAACCTACTAGGGCTGCCTTCGACGTACGTTCCAAGAATGAATTAATGTTAGTTATGGACAGGTCCAAGTCTTTTAGTGGGTTATAGGTTTTAGCTGTTATACCTCTCGCTCCCACCTCTACCGAGTACAAATCAACGACGAACCTATTTCGAGTTAGTTCGTTAGTGAGCTCGTAATACTTATTGACCTTGATGGCATGGTCTTTGGGGATGTTGGGTTTCCGAGACACAACTAATTTCTTATAAAATACGTACTTAAGTACTCAGTTATCTTTTTATTTTGAAAAGCTACAATATGAAGACATGATTTACAATCACGTAATTAGTAGCTATTTGATATTTAGTCGTTAATTAATATTTAATATTTTTTACCAATTTAAGTAAAAGTAAGAAGCTTCTTAAGCGGTTCGATTTGATAAATTTATTTTCTTTTCAAATAGAATTTTTGAAAAGAATATAATATTTTTTCGGTATTTAAAGTAATAACTTAAAATTAGTAGCTGGCACTTTGTAATCCATGTCAGAAATTAGTACGAAAAAACTAATTATTTTCACTTTCGATTAAGCTATTGTTTTTAAAAATAAGAGCTGTCTTACATGCTCTGAGTTCATTTTCGTTTCACAATTCACTGACGAATCGTATAAAGTATTGATTTTTTATTTTTTATGCAATCTAGTTCAATGGTAGATTCTTTGACAACGTTTTGCGAGCCTTGAATACAATGGTTCACACTCAATCGTGCGTATACCTTCATACGTACATACAGATACAAAACTGTTTTTCATTTTCTATGTTAAAAGAATAAATGAATTTAATTATAAATTTTCAAGTAATCAAATAATATAGAATTATACTATAAAGACTAAAGAGTCTCTTTAACATTAAGGGGATTACTATGCACATATTAAACTAAGTATTATTTAAAACTTGAAATTCTGGAGTCTAGAGATAGGTGTGAACTAACGTAAGTAAATAACAGACATTTATTATATTTATATATTACAGTATATTGCGAAAGTTATTAATAGAATAACTCTGCCGAAATTCTTATTTTCCTCAAAAATAAAATGAGATTCGTTACTCTCTTTAGTTTTAGTTGTAGATATACTCGTATTTTATTAAATAAATAGAAATATTTTTGCTATATGAATTCAGTATTTGACAACTTTTTTGAACTTATTAGATTTATACACGTGTCTCGTACAATTTAAGGACCTGCTAGGTTTTAAAGAATTTGTCAAAAATATCTAATTGAATTGACATGAGTGACTGTTTACGAAGTTATTAAGTTTTTAAAGACTCCTATACATACTAAATGTACGTGTAAAAATAATATTTTTCACAGCAGTTTATTCAAGATTTTGATGAATTCATTATTTTTTTTTAAACGATCCGATTCAGTAATCAATTTAATGTAAAATACATTGGGTACAGCAGTAATCCAATTGGAAAGTCTTGAGTAGAACTCAAATTACTATATTTTTTGTTTTTCGAAAAGGATAATCTGTCAATGATTTAAATTATAGCCGAAGATTAAGCATATTTTATGTGCAATGAAAAACTGTGACTTGATTCTTAAAATAAAAAGTAATTTACACTTTTATTTTAATTAAATAAATAGACCTTGCATACTAGGAATTAAAAAAATATAGAAATTTATTATACATTTTAAAACAGTTCGTGTTCTTAGAAATTATAAAATAATTCCTTACTTTTTACCACTAAATGTCAAACATGGCATTTCTTTTCCCATATTGAACTTGAAATATGAATCTAATTAATTGTAGTCGACCCGGTGATATATAGTATAAAGGTAGTATTGAGGCGTTTCATAATAAAATCAGTATGCATCTAATAAAGAGAGTTTTGTCTTCTAATTAATATCATGTATGTTTTGTGAATGTGGATGGAATATTACGTTACTACATATAATACGTGCTTGTAAATTATTCCATATTAGATGATAATATACAAATAACTGTTTAATTCTTTTAATATTTAGTCAAATTTTATAGTTTTTAGTGAAATATAATATAACTAAACAAACATACGCCAAATTTTACTTATCATTCAGTTATGTAGGCAATGAAGTTTGTTAATTGTGTCTTATGTATGTTTTAATAATATGTTTGTGTCCACGTTAAGTTAATGTTATCAAAATATAATTAGTTTTAATCTTGTTATAGTTTAAATTTATCACATTTACTCTCAAAGTTGAATTTAATTTAACAATCCGATGTAATATCTTGAGACATAAGCTAAAAGTAAATAACTTCTAAATATTACTGTTTTAACTGCTTTGATTATTCATTTATTCTAAACATACTTTGATATCGAATTAATTCAAAATAACGAAATATAATCTACAAATACAAACCCAATCTAATTTCAAAGAGAATGAGGAGTTGCCACATCGAGTGAAAAATGTGTATAATTAATATTATAACTTTTTTATACTAAGCAAAAACATGTCATGCTTTACTATTTTATATTCGGTAATTTCACTACAGAAACTATGGATATATTTTAATTTTGTCCTCTAAATTATTGTGAAAAAGTTATAATAATAATAATAATAATAATAATTTATTTTATCTCAGACATAGTCCATATTTAAATATTAGTAATACATGTCAACCTTATAACTAATGTTAGTAAAAGCAAATGATAATAATAATAATAATAATAAAAACAAACAAAACAAAACAGAGACAAACACAAAAGACAAAAATCGCTATTTTTAGGCAGCGTGTAGCCGTACCCAGTGGCGCAGTATTTCAGAGTCCCAGCGGCCAGCCAGTGCACACAGAATGCTGTTCGAACTGGATCGCAACCTCTGAAGCGCAGATGCACTCCTCTTGCGAACAATAGCATAAAAGCTATCAACACGCCTCTCAGCAAACATTTCGGAGGCGCTACAGTAGCGCGGCAATCCGAACAGCACTCTGAATGCATTGTTGTACTGAACTCGCAGAGCGCTGTACGCGCGCTGCGTATACTTAACCCAAAGGCTGCAGGTGTAAAAGGATTGGCAATATGCCTTGAACAAAGTTAATTTTACACTCTCAGTACACCGTGCAAACCTTCGGGCCAGCATGTTACAGCGCACGGCCAGCGCCCTGCGCTCTCGCTCCAAATCATGGTCATCGCTGAGGTTGTCTGAAACCCAGTGACCCAGATACTTGAACTGTTCAACTCGTCTTAAAGCAATGCCACCAAGATATAAAGGTGGAACATTAGCATAAACTTTCTTACCAGCTTTAAACACCAGGAGTTCACTTTTATTCGCGTTGTATCTCAGTCCATGGGCTCCAGCATACCTCTCACATATGCTTAATAATTTTCGTAACGCACCGATTGAGGGACTCATCAATACCATATCGTCAGCGTAACTGATGTTATTTACGCAGACGCCCCCCACGTGACAACCGATACCGCTATTACCCAGCTCTGCAAGCAGCCCATTAATGTACAGGTTAAAGAGGCGAGGCGAGGTAAGGCCGCCTTGTCTCACACCGCACTCCAACCCATACATATCCGAGTGCTCGCCAGCCCATTTCACGACATTACATTGGTTATGGTACCAATATTGCAAAACAGAGGTAACTTCGAAGGGTACATCTGTCTCCTTTCTGAGTTTATTCCATAGTATATCATAGTCTATAGTATCAAAAGCCCTAGATAGATCCAAAAAAACAGGCATATACAGGAGTTTTTCTAGCTGTATAGTACTGTACAGTCTGCTTGAGGCAAAAGATGGCGCTC